TATTTATATATTATGTTTATTTGAAATGTGCAATCCTCAAAACAGTAAAAAAGGAAAATGTATACAGTTTTGAGATGAAAAAACTGTTAAAAGGAAAGTCTTTGAAATCTTAGTGGATTTGAAAAACAGGGAGAGAAAAGGTGACACAAAACTCACACCCTGCACTGCAGTCACAGATCTCTGTGTAGCACTCTTCTGTCTAGACAAGTCTTAGTGCCTAATCTTAGCTACATTATAGTTTAAAAACTTTAACAGAAATTCTTATCCCAAAAAGAGGAAAAAAAGTCACACAGGAATGCAAAGACATGGAGAACATTAGAAATCCTGTAAAATTACTTCCAAATAAGTCACTAACAAATTACAGTGTGACAACAATAAAACAGTTCTAAAGTTAAAGATGCCACTATCATAGTAACTCCGATAAAAAAGGTGCTTTTTTAACCAAATTTGTCAATTTAGCAAAATAATCATGATTGGAAGAAAAATATTAGAGATCAGTTTTTACCAGGTTGATGACATGGATACATACTGTAATCAGGATGTAAAACATGTGTCTCTTCGTCTTCATCTATTGTCTGCCCCAATGAAAACAGTCTGACACGTCTCATCTTCAATAGCCTTGGAGAGCTTTCATGGGCAGTACTCCCAACACTCGGAACTACATCACCAGAAACAACAGTTGGAACAATTTTTTTCAGGAATTCCATTTTTCACATGCCCTGTGTTCTCAGCATTTAACTAAATTTAGCAGTTTAGCTCCACATTAGAGCGTGGCTCCCACATCAACTTCCTTGAGCACAGAGGTAGAACTTCTAGTGATGTCACGTTAAACCTGGGTGGTGCCAACACCAGCATGTCAGCTGGCAGCCAGCTGCTCCAAGGCAGATTTTAAAGACGTCTAACTGTGTGGACTGATAAGAAAACCAAACAACAACAAGTCTATATATTAACCAATGTATGCTAAACTCTGCACGCCTAGAAGAAACTGTATTTAGCACCGCAACGTTTTAAGCACTAAGAAAATTCACAACACATTTTCAAATTCCTATCTGTCAGAGTTCAATAGCTCTTAATTTTCATGAAGTGTACAGTATTCATCTGTATTTGAAAGATTACACTTATCACTCAGAATGTCTATATGCCAGCTTAACAAAGCTTCTAACATCACCATTTGCATTCTCACGTAGTTTTAACTACTAAGATATTCTGTCTTCTATGAAGTTTTGTTTTGTAGAGACTCTGATGCTATTTTTACCACTTAAAATACTCACACCATCTTCCAGAAAACTACAAGTACAGAAATAACCTGTCAATTTTTGTCCAAACATCCACTTTATCCCTAGGGTTACTTCTCCTTATGTGCCTGGTTTAGCAGAGCTTTTTATTTGGGGAAGTTTAAGCATTGTTTTATATTTAGCTTAAAGAAGACATTAAGAAAGATGCCTTGCATATAGAGCAGAGAGTTCATGAAGGAAAAAAAAAGGGATATATTAGCATAGAGGAGCATTCCTTAAGGCTTTCTACAATTGGGAATAGAATATGTATCATTTTTCAGTTTAAGTATTCTTTTATTTACAAGAGTTGGAGTGGAGATTCACAGACAGAATACCAGAATACAGACAGAATTCCCACCTCATTTGCCACCAAAGCTGGTAGACTTAGAGGAAATCCACCAATACTCAACAGGTGAGTGGCAGCCTACATGCATCTGTTATTTTTATGAAAGCAGCTCGGTGTCCAAGGCATTGCTGAAAGCATTCAACATAATTATCCAAGCTACACATGAAGCATACATACTATATACAGTCCTTAAAAGAAGGTATTTAATCTGAAATTCATTACTGTTGTCCAGGTCTTAAAAAGAAAAAAACCAGAATAACCTGTTTCAGATCTCAGAGTTTCAGTAGTTCAGTGCTTACAAGGGGCTACTCAACTGCATTAAGTTATCAGTCTTACTCTGTCATGTCTGTGGTTCAGAATGCCACAACTTGAAGAAGTTCACTAAAGTTGCCACCAAAGACATTTTTCAAGTTCTACACAGACTGATAAAATAGGATAGCTTTTCTATTCAAAACTGCATTAAAATCCCCCAATGTTCAAGTCAGTCCATAGTCCACTTGTAAATGAATAAATATCTACACAATTTTGTCACTGTAGATGAATAAAAAATTCTGACCTTATCATAAGGCACATTGCTAGAATATTACTTCCTACAGAGAGATCAAGCAGAAAATTCTCCCTATAATGATTTCATTCACAGTATTTTTCCCACTAATACAAAAAGAGTTACACAGAAGAAAAGTGCTTTATGAGTTTTCAGAACAAATAATAAAGATATCACAAAGACAATTTGTGATTATAAAAGATCATAAGTTATTACAAGTTCAAGCAATCATTTATTCATAATAGCATTATTTTTTCAATACAATTTCTTTTTTTGCCCTTGAAATCTTGCCACAAACCTACTTTGCAGTTTCTAGCATTTGGGAACAAGAGAAAAATTCAGATGCTTCTGTGAGAATGAGAATGCTCCAGCCATCCACCTGCCAAACTACGGTTTGCAAAGATGGGGTAGTAAGATATTTTGCTTTGTACCTAACAAATACATTCTGAAAGGCTCAAACAAGTGCTCTTAACCACACTATGAAGGTTTTATTACGCATGTGGACACAGGGTGGAGTTGACAGGTGAAGTGTAAGTACCCCATGTATCACTTGCATTAAATGCATAAGGTGTGAGTTTTTACACAACATGTAGCATATGTGAATTAGCCATGAATTTAAAAAAAATTAAGGGTTTAAACTATACTTTTTTAAATGAGAAAACTTAGCAGCCTTTCAAGTAATAGGATATACAAAAAAACTACAAGCAAGGAATAAAAACCTTTCTCCATATACATGATTATATTTCAAGATTAAACTTTATAAACTAATAAAGCTTAAACAACACGGCTGTATCACAAAGCTTTTGACTGATTTTTCCTTCACGATGGCTTTTGTTTGACTTTTAAGAGAAGGACATCAAGAAGTTTTCTACAGAAGACAGTTGGGGATATATATGTATATATTTGTATATGGATGGATGGGGGCCAACTCCAGGACTTCCATACTTCATTAGATTCTACGAAAACAGCATTTTGTAAAAAATGAAGCCAAGATACAAGGCTTATGTTTTTGCCTATGTCATTTCACATCCACTCCTCCTTCACACTTACTCTTAGCATCTTCTTACACAATTCAGTGTACAGTTATGGTTTTTATATAATCTGAGCAAGTTTTACAGATAATTTGTCAGGAGAAAACATGAGAAGTCTTACAATTGTTATATCTAAAGTCATCTTTAAACTAAATAGAACAGGCTACAAAAAGACTTATTTGAATAATTTTAACAGTTATTCTGGAACCTCTAAATAGAAAAAAATAGGAGACTTGCTCTTATATAGGATTATTATTTGCATTACAGTAAGTCCTTTGATGTCTTTCTACGTGTATTTCACTTCTGTTACACTCAAAGGTGGACTGATTTTGCACTGAAGTGCCTGCTGAGGTCATTCAGGCTTCCCTTGCCACAGTTCTTGATGTTTATACCACTTGCTGTGCAACATAATGTCTGAGCTCCACATCTCTCACTAACGGGAATCCACATTAGCAGGACTTCGCATCATAAGGGATTACAAACAGATCATGAAACATGCAGAAATACCACACTGGGAGACCCAGGGAGTGATCACAGGGTAACAGCACTTCTCAGAGCACTGACTCTTTGGGTTAGATCTTTCAGGACACAAACAGCCAAGGTGTTTGACAGGGGTGCATAGGAAGAGCACCTACATGGGAATTCCACTGAAGCAAGTGAACCTGCTGATGAAGGAACATCCCAAGAATGAGAAACGCTTAAAAAACAGAAGACAATCAGTGAAAGAAAGATCCACGTGAGAGGGAGCGACTTGCAAGTCACTTGAAATTCACGTCTAGGGAATTCTTAGAATTCGCAAAATTAGTAATAACAATACTAAAAGACAATTACAAACCTGACAACATACTGGGAAGTACAATTTTAGAAGACAGCTTAGATGCCCTATAGCCTACCATAAACAATGCATCCTTTGACAAGCCTCTTCCCGACCAAGCGTGCACTGGAAACCTGCAGCTTTGTAGCAGGTTGTTTCTTCAACTACCCCACGCCGCCAGAGCAACGCCAGCCCAGCCCAGCCCTACCTGCTGCCGGAGAGAGGGCAAAGTCTTCCTTTATATCTAACGTATAGGATGACAGAACAGATCCCGGGGGCTCGGAGGCCGGGAGGAAGCGCGGTGCCCTCTGGGCTTGCCCGGATCGCTGTGCCGGAAGGGAATGCCGAGGTTCTGAGGGGGAGCCCCGCGCCCCCCGCCCGGCTCCGCAGCTTTGCCCGCAGCGCCCCCGCCCGGCGGCGGGGCCAGGCCGCGCCCCCCACCCTCCTCGTCCTCCCCCAGCTCCCGAGCTCCCGGCCCAGCCCGGCGAGCCGGAGTCAACAGGGATGCGCCTGTCGGTGCCGCACAGACGGCCCTGGCACAGGAGAAAAGGGAACTGCGTCCGACTTCACGGACCCCTGCAGCACGGACAGAAGACAAGTTCAGGCTAGCCTGGTTGGCATGGTGGGAACACGTGTTCCCTGGCACAGCCGCGCTAGGGAAACTTCTCTCTTGGACCATCCAGGAGCTTATACTCCGGCGCTCACTCTCGCACCACCTGAGCTGGGACTAAGGCCCCTTCGGAGCTACACACCCCACACTCACACTGTCAGATCAGGCTTCCTTAGGGCTCGACCCCAGGTTTTCCATAGCAGAGTATCAGACCACGGAGTCCAGATCCTTAAAACAATTTAATCATGGTCCAAATAACTAAATCACAAAATAACAGCTGGAGCTGGGGCCTCCGAGGAGAGACCCGGAACTTTTACAGCCTCACAGTCTAATCTGGGGTTTTCCAGCTGAGCCCTCGGCTCCTGCTGTGTCTTTGAGTGTATGGCTCACCAGAGGTCCTCGTGCCCTTCGTTATGCGAAGAGTCAGGAGTTCACAGCCTCTTGCCTCGGGCTCCTGTCCCCCCAGAGCTCAACCCGCAGCTGCACACTGAGCTACCTGTGCTCAGTGTGTTCCTCGACAACCACTGGTATGACCCCGCCGGCAGAGAAGGCAGCTGGAGGCGTTCCTGTGCCAGCAAGGTAGAAGTTCACACTGCAAACCTTCTGAACTTGATGATTTAAAGGTCTTTTCCAACCTGAACGATTCTACAATCTCCCCATTTAGATAAACACTGCTATAGTGAGGCACATCTGTTGGCACACAGAACCTGTGTTTTCTCCCAGGTTCTCAGCAACCGGACCACATTGGTAGGACAAAACAACACATCAAAATTATTCCTCTTCCAATAGTTAGAAATTGAACCTTCAATCCAGTCTGGAAGTATAAGTTCACACACCTGCATTAAACTCATGAGAGGTAACACAGATACTGGACACCTGTGTTATACCTGCTAGCCAATTAGCAGGACATTATCATAATTTCACACAAAAGACTGCTGAGATAGGGAAGACAAATCCCATTTCTTCTTCTGTATATGCTACATTTCTTTTAAATGGCAGGCTTTTTTGCTTTAGAACAATAACACTCACATGTATCTTTTAAATACAGAAAACTGAGCAAACAACATAACCTAGAAAAACACGTGCACAGGGAGAAAACAGTTAATTTGTCATTTTGTGGTGTCATCTCACCTTTTAGCAGTTTGCAGTAGCCACTTGTAAGGAATATATTTAAAGGAATTAACTTTGCATGTCAGAAAGTTTCAAACTTCTAAAATATATTCAAGGTAAGAGGCTATCTTACATATAACTTCAACTCATACATTACAGTTAATTCCCAAGCTACTTGGAATTAATGGTTTTCTTGGTTCAGTTCAATTAATGTAGTTTCACAGGAAAAAACCTAAGGACCAGTATAAGCAGGGACAAAGCAACATACAATTTTGCAACAAACTATCTCTAAGTCAGTGTAAACCCCTTGTAGCTCTTATTTTGTATACTAAATACTTTAAAGCTAAGTAATTTAATCTTTCTATAGTTTCATTTTATTGCTTCTTTAATGTGAACATGCAAATAGTTTTGGTTGTCCCTATGCTTTTCTTAGAGGAAGTCTAGCTGTCTCCTGAGAAATGAAACTAACAACTGGCAGCTCTTGGTAAAAAGTTTTGCTTTTCTTTCCATCACTTAAGCGGTATTTGCTGTGTAGGGGGGGCAGGAGATCCTTTTTTAGCAAGTTGTGGGGGCTTTTTCTTTGGAAGACTGAGGATTTCTGCAGTGATTTGAGTTTTTCAGAGCTTGGCTCTAATTATTCAGCATTAGCAGAAGTGAAATATAAGTAGAAATGAAGCATCAAAATATACCCATCAGCAGCTGAACAGGAACCGTTATGTTCACTGACTGAATACAATATTATTCTGTTTAATAAAAAAGCCCCAAAATTTTTACCATTTATATATTAAGTTTTAACTGTTCTTATCTTGAACTTGCATGCAAGAATACATGCTTTCCTGAACTCATTAGGAGTTCCTGAGAAGATCAAGGTATTGTCTATCCCACAACTTCTACAATCCTCAGTCGGGATAAGGATCTGGGCTTCCTGTTGCTAACTTCTTGCCTGTTCCAAGTACTGATATATCCCACAAGATCCTCCAAACCTATGAATTTCTCCCACTGGTGGATTTTTCTTCAAATAAGAACTTGCAGCAGCACATAACCTGAATCATACCCATTTCCATGCAAGAAGAAACACCAAGAGAAGACGTCATTACACAATCTCATAACAAAGTGGCCAGATTTTTTTCCCTTACAAAATGATCAAAGTGAATGATGACAATTATGATGTTGATATCTCCATGCAAAGGGCATTAAAATAAACAACATTTCAAAACCAAAGAGTCTGTGGAACAGCTTCCAGTAAACCAGAACAGCAATGGCAACACTGCTATGAAATTGGATCTCTAAGGAGTTGAGACCTGAAAACCTTTATCAAAAGCTTTTTAAGTGCTTTACAGAAAAAGAATTGCCAAGCATTAATGCATAGAACAATCAGAACACAGATAGTAAGTGATAACCAGAGACCAAGCACACACATACATTTCCAGAATTACTCAAGGACAGTGCTTCAGCATACACTTCTTAAACAATATTTGGCCTATTTAGTTGATGGTTTTCACAGCCACTGTCACTGTTTCTGTTAAAGAGTTTCTCTCACACTACATGAAAGTAGACCTCTGTAGAAGAATTTGTGTTTGAATGGTCAACTTTTAAAATCATGCCCAAAGCATAAAAGTCAAATGGCATGGGAAAGCCCTGTTCAAAATAACCTTCATTCCAATCCTAAAAGCACATACAGCATGTTTTATCTTGCTTCCCTTACCAAGCCTGACCTAATCTTAGTTTAGTGCTTAAATTTTATACAAGGCGGGCATGTTTAAAATGTTACTGACCTGTGGAAACTACCATCCTTTTTTCATTGTGTCTTTTCTCCGTAGCTTCTATTATTAAAAAAACAACCACATTTACCAAGTTCACAGCATAAGCTCAGTTTTTCATTGAAAACTTCTCAACATCTACATTATCTCAACATCAATGAAAAACTTCTCAACATCTACATTAAATACAGGTTCTGTCTTGGTTTACATAGCATTCATCCACTCTCATCTATTTTAGTTATTCCCTTTCAAAATTAATAAAGTTTTTGAAATGTGGCCACAGAAAGTTTATATGCATGGCAAAAAAAGAAAAGTACAAATTTAAACTCAACCTAGTAAAAAAAAAAAAAAAAAACCTGAAAAAAAAAAAAAGGCAGGGAATTTGCACTTTTATAATTTCTATAAAGGAAAGAGAATAGATATAATTTAGGTTTGGCAAGGTCTGGTTACAGGGCTTTGAGCACAGGAGAGGAAGTTCTAACTTCCAGTGTAAGATGTTGGATGAAATCTTGTTTAATCTTCCTATTTGGAATGCTGCAACATACTTGAGATGAAACAAGTCCAACTAAGTTCGGTACTAAATTAAGGTCCAAAAATGTTTCTAGTAAGCAGGAAAGAAAAAAAGGAAAAATAAGTTTAAAACCCAACAATTTTTTATTATTAGCAAATAAACAAACACAGATGCTAAATGCTCTGGTAGAATTACAGCTCCTCCAGTACATCAAAGTCACTAAGTAAGCAAATACATAGAAACAGGAATGAGCCTAACCTCACAAATTGTTGAGCCACCCAAGAGAAAACTTCCATTTTTATGCTATTTGGAACATTTACGTACTTATGCACACCCACGCAGGTTTGCTTGCTAAATATAGTCATATTATCACAGTGAAGCTTTTAAAATTGCAGAAAGGTAAATAAGACCACCACAAATAAATAAAATTAAAAAAAGAAACAAGAAACGCACAGCACACTGACTGTGCAGCTTCAGAAGGCAAGCGAACACTTTCCTTTAAAAGACAGCAGTCGAGGCAAAATTACTGCTTCTACACACAAGCTCCACTGCTCAGGCATTCTGACAGTCACCTGGGGCAACAGAAAAGCTCAAAGAGCACCTCCCTGTATTAGTAGTTCTTCTCAAGTACCACAAATTAAGGTGGATCTATAGAACAGACAGACATGAATGATAATTTTAAAAGCAGAGATTAAGACAAAATAGCAGTGATGTAAATTGAACTCATCAGATTAAAAAGCTTATTCCAATTTCTAACACCAGAAGAAATGTATGTGAGATTAGCATGCATTATAAAATATTTGTGAAAAAATTCCTTATTTAGATTTGGAAGAGAACTGCTGTATTACACATATCTGAAGGAGAGGTTAAGCCTGTTAGTATTAGAAGCAAGAAGAAAAAAAAAAATAACCTGCCACTGAAGAGCAGAAAGAGGAAGCCACTGAAATTTAAAGACCAAGGTGAACATGATCACCAAGAAAGGCAAAGAATTCCTTTATTTAAAGAAAATTTGATGCTCCAGTCATCTGATGAGAACAGAAAGATTACAGAAGTGCTTTCTTCACTTGTGACTTTTAATAATAAAAGACTAATAATTGTAATAGAGCAAGACAGGAGGATTATTTTTCAAAAAAAAAAACAAAAACTTTCAAAGGCCAGAATTACTTCCACCTTTCGAAAAAGGCAAAAAATCCAACTCTACTGGTTTCAATTTCTTAATCATTAATTTTAAAAATAATCCATTCTTTTCAAGCTAATGGTGTGTTAAAGAGGAAAAGAAGTCTCTGAAGAAAAAGTTATATGCACATTTTTAACACACACAGGTCAGCTTACAGTAAAATTGTTTCAAGCCAGCAGACTGTCTACAAATGTAAATACACAGTGGTGTCAAGACTGTCATTTTGTCCACGCCAGGATTAGCTTTCATCACTCACACAGAAGAGCCAATGAAATATGGTTAAAATTAAGAATAGTAGCGAAGTGCACCTAGAAGAGAGGGCTCCTCTCCTCGCACAACACTGTTAGTCCTTCCTTGACTCTGCTGTACATTTTAGACTGAATACTTACATTCTTTAGCATGTGGCTCAAATCAAAGGATCAGGTCTGGATCAGAAGTGAGCCTTGCTGCACTTCATAAGGCATTTCTGAGCCAGAACTTTACTGAGGAGGAGTTAAGGATAGCAGAAGCAAGAACTTCACAACCAGTGGTACACTGTACATGGAAAGTGCCCTGGGCCAAGTGAGGCAGGATATATTAAGCCAGGCTGGGCAGAGGCACAAGGGAGGGGAATTTACAGAGAGTTTCCACAGGAAAGCTCTGCAGCTACGTAGGAGATATCAGAACTAGCTGCATCACTTGTGCTTCACCCAAATCTCTGAAAAAAATGCCTATTATTGTCTCCTGGTCTTTGAAGTACTTGTTTTGTTTAAAGACATACAGTGTTTTCACTAGTTACGAGCCAAGGGATAAGCATTGTCCAGTTCCCTAAAGACTTCTGGTTTCCATTTCATTATATATCATATATTTAAACTGTAATACAGGCTTTTAACTTGTGCAGTTACTCTAAACCTTGATGAATAAGTCACTTTCTTTTAAATTAAGCACTTCTCCAAGTGAATTGCTTTCACGTAAATAGTTGCTGGCTGCAAATGGAGAACAGCAATATCTCTGCAACCAGTAGTATAATAGCTGTCTGATC